CAACAAAGACAAAACAAAGAACAAGGGGAAGACTAACAACAAGCCATATTAAAACTGTTGTTTTCTTTGTAAAAGACCTCATTGGGCAAGGGATTGTCCTCAGAAGAAGTCCCTCAACTCTCTCATTGCAAACCATAAAGTGATATGGAAATGGGATGGAGGTACATGTGAGATCTCTTCAACTGCTAAAAGGGATGCAAGCTCCGACAAAACCACAAGAGAAGGGGTTACTCTTTGTGGAGATAGAAATAAGAGGGAAGACCACAAGGGCAATGGTGGATACGGGTGTTTCCGACAACTTCATCTGCAGCGAGGAAACAAAGAGGTTAGGGTTGCAAATGACTAAAGAAGGGGCTCTATTAAAGTCGTTAACTCAACAGAGATGTCAATCAATGAAATGGCTAAGGGAGTCAAGACCAACAATGGGGCATGGTCAGGTACTCTAGACTTCTCTATCATTCCTTTGGATGATTACAAAGTTGTTCGAGGAATGAACTTCTTGGACTAAGCAAGAGCATTCCCAATGTCATTCCCCAATAGTTTGTGCATCACGGAAGGGAGCCAAGCTTGCTCAGTACCGATAATAAGGTTAAACAAGCAAGGATCTAAAATGCTATCAGCAATCAAGCTCAAGGAGGGCATTGCACAGGACAAGGGGGACAGCTTGGTTATCCTTCATGATACCAATGAAGGAAAAAATACCGAAGGAATTGGGATGCCAAGGAAAGAGGTGGTGGTAAATACCGAAGGAATTGGGATGCCAAGGAAAGAGGTGAATGTTCCTAATAAACCACCACCAAGAAAAACGAAAGATGGTTCAACAAGGAGGCAAGGGATAAGCCGTCAGGCAGGAAGACTTGCTGCATGACACCCCTCTCCCATAACACCAAGGAGAAACTAAAGTTTGTCAAGTCTGGGGGCAAACTGAGGAGGCGGTTTCAAAGTTGCAGGGGAAGCCGCAATGAGAGCGTTGCAGGTTTAAGTGGGTGAGAATGACACGCCCCGCCATCTTCAAAGAAATAGCATGACAAGCATAAGAAGGAAATCTCTATAAGAGGCATGCATGGCAAAAACCTTCCAGAGCCAAGAAGGTGCATAAGAAAGTTCCACAACTCTAGAAACTTCTACACAATTCTAGATGTCAGAGAAAGGTAATACTCCATGAAGAACTCAATGATGGAGCATGGAGAGTTCAAGAAGAACCTAGAAGGATCTGGGATTATGTATTTATGTAAGAATTGTATGGAATACTCTAGAAAGTAGAGAATTGTAGAATATTCTCATGATTTCGAGGGGGACTATAAATAGAGGTTACTCCCCTCATTTGTAATCATCTAAATATTCAATAAAAACTTCCAAGTATTCAAGTGTGAAGTATTTTTTTCTCTCTACTCTTCTTCTTAAGAGTGTTTTGTGCTCATAAGTCCAAGTTTTGTGAGGATTAGGCTGATTTAGTGCTAAAAGAGAGCGCTAAAACCGCATGGGTGACTAGAGAAAAGTTAGTCCGTGACAACTTGCTCCCATATTTTTTAGAAGCATAGCCAAAGAAAATACATTTGATGGATTTTGAGTCGAGCTTTGTGTGGTTTGATTGGTGAATGTGAACAAAAGAGACACATCCAAATAATTTTAAGAGAAGAATGGATGAGAAAGCTCTGACATGAGGATATTTTCCCATCACAATATCGAGAATCCAAAGACTATACTTGGCATTCTATTAACGAGGTAAGCAGTTGTGGCACATCTCATCAGAAAACTTTCGAGACATTGTGAAAAAGCATTATAGATCGAGATACCTCAAGGAGGTGTCTATTCTTCTCCTCAACTATCACATTTTGTTGTGGAGTTTCAGCACAATAACTCACATGAATGATGTCGTTATAAGGTAGGGACTAAAGATAGAGTTGAAATATTCCTTTAAATTATCAGTTTTGAGAATTTAAATTTTGTATTGGAATTGAGTGGAAATCATTTTATGAAAGTATTGAAAAAATTTGTGTAGTTTCAAATTTTTCCTACATGAGAATATCCAACTAGTTCCAATATAGTCATCAATAAAGGAGACAAACCAACTAGCTTAATTAATGATTTTAATTTTGATGATCCTCAAATATCACTGTAGATGATAGAAAAAGGTTGTGAGAGTTTGTACTGAGACAAATGGTAGACATGTTGAGTATGTTTAACCGATTGACATATTTTACACTGATAAAACTATGGTTTTTTATTAATAAAAAGATGAGTATACAACTTTGCAATATAATGGAAATTGGGATACCTAGACTACGATGCCATAACAAAAATTGACTTTCAACTGACTCGTACACAACGGATTCAGAAACATGGGAAGATTATGTGAAAAAGACGCTTTTGCATTAAGAGAATAGCTTTTGTTGAACAGGTATAGGTCTTGCTGCAATTCAACACAATCAATCACCTTCCTCAAATCTACCACATGAAATTCATAAGAGTTAGAATGAAATTTAATAATATAGTTTGTCATGAGTAAACTTGTTAATTGAAAGCAAGTTACAATCTAACTGGAGAACATATAACACATAACAGAGTTGAATATTTTTGTAGACTTTCACTTCTTTCCTAACAATCCTAAAATCAGATCGATCAACAAGTCTAATAAATTGGGTATTGATGAACTCTTGATAATTAGCGACAGCATGAATATCTTCAGTTATGTGATCAAAAGCAACGAAATCTACTATCCAAGATTGAAATCTTCCATTGTTAGAGAGATATGGACATGATACTTTAGTGTATTGTCAAGCTAGCAGGTCACTTAGTTGTTATTGAAAGAAGTTTCTTCAATGCCTCCAGTTGTGCCTTGTGAAGGGATTAGGGTCAACCAACCCTTCAGAAGAGGTGGCAGCACGGGCCTTGCGGTTTGGGTCCTTCTTCCTTTGCCACGGATTCCAATCGGCAAGTTTTCTATATAGTTTCTTTGTGTGACAAGAGACCATTCTTCTTTGTCTTTGACTTATAAAAGGTGTCATGTGTGTGGCGAAGCTTTCAATGCTAGATGATTCCACACTTTCTCCCATCATGAGCTTCCTCCTACTTTCTTCTCTTCTGACTTAAACAAAGGCTTCTCTAGTGGTAAGGGAGGGGCTTCAGCCCAATAATTCTTCCTCTGACCTCATCTTAGCTCTTATTTAGGCCTAATGGAAACTCAATCATCCGTTTTTTCATTACTATTATTTTATACAACATAGCAAGTGTGGTTGACAAAGACTACATTGATTGAGAAAGAATCTATATGGTGCAGCTCAAGCAGAACATGCGAAAAACCTCTGTCTGTGTGGTATTTGGGCTAGAAAGAGAAAATCCACCTCTCAGAAGGTTGTGAAATCCTATGCGTATGTGATTTGCACTAGAAAAAGAAATTTCTTCAACACCTCTCGTTGTTCCTTGGTGAAGTGAATAGGGTCAACCAACCCTTCAGAAGAGGTAGCAACACAGTTCTTGCGGTCTTGGTCCTTCCTTCCTTGCCCCAGTTTCCAATATGCAAGTTTTCTATATAGTTTCTTTGTGTAAATAAGTTTCTTGGAATGTTCACATGAGATGATTCTTCTTTATCTTTGACTCATAAGAGGAGATTTGCGTACAGGGCGAAGCTTTCAATGCTAGATGATTCCACACTTTCTCCCGTCATGAGCTTCTTCCTACTTTCTTGTCTTCTGACTTCAGCAAAGGCTTCCATAGTGGTAGGGAGAGGCTTCATCCCAAAAATTATTCCTTTGACCTTGTCTAAGTTTTTATTTAGACCTAATAGAAACTTAATCATCCGCTTCTTCTTCACTATTATTTTATTCAAAATTGCAAGTGCGGTTGAGAAAGACGACAATGAATGAGAAAGAAGCTATATGGTGCGGCTCAAGCAGGTTGTGAAAGCCACCTCTCAGAAGGTTGTGAAAGCCTATGCATATGTGATTTGCACTAAAAAAAGAAATTCAATCTCACAGAAACTGCTGCACATGGGATTTGTACTAGAAAAGACGATTCAGCGGAGATCAGTTGTGTAGTGAAGGTAAGGCGTGGGGAGACAACCTAGTGGACGAAAAAAGTCTAGAGTTTCTAACCCGGTTCTAATACCATGAAGAAAGGTGGAGAAAATCATTTTTTCATATTTCCCAATAATCAAATTACCAACTTTTCTCATTATATAATAAGAAACGGCTAGGGAAAGCTTAATTAAGGGAAAGATTAATTACAATAATTACAACTTACTAAAGAAAACCTAGCCCAAGAAGGAAAAAACTATAACATAATAAAGAGAGAATAAAACTAAAATAAGAAACTCATAATTCCACTATAAATTGTGAACAAGCTTTAGTTTTGGACCCATTAACTCCATTTTTGGAGCTAGGAAACATACTACCCATCATAAATTCAAATTAAAAGAGCATATTGTCTAAAGCTAGAACTCCAACTCTGTGACATTTATCCTGGAATAGGGCACCACTGAAGCTTATTCAATAAGCTAAAGCAGCCCCAAACGGACCCTAAGCTCATTGATGCATTAAAAACGTTATTTTGTATATAACTGACCATGTCATGACGATTTTTATGACATTTACCTTAATGTAGCATTAAAAATATTTAAATATTAAAAATTAAAATATATCAGAATACTTTCCTTCAAATAAAACTAACAAAAATGATGAGTAAATGAAAAAAATATACATAAATTTGAAACTAATTGAAGATCTAGTAGCTTTTCTTATCGATAAAAACTTGTGTACTTCACAACAGAAATATATGTAATGATTAGAAGTACATAGAGTATAACGTAGCTAGCACAATTTTATAATGAACAAGTTAATATCAATTTCTTTAGTTTCCTCCACAAAATAGACGTATGGAATTAGCGACAAACAAATGCATAAATAGCAGAGAATCAAATACTAGCACAATTAAAGTGAAAAAATAGTAAAAAAATGAAATAATTGCAAATAATAATAAATAAAGAGAAATAGAAAGCATACATCTTCAACAATGTTCTGTGTCCGATCAAGCCATTGAAAATGGACTAATCCTTCTTCACCCTAGCAGAGAGATTAAGTTTTGCTTCAGAAGAAAAGAGATTCAAAAACAAAAGTAAATAGTTTATTTACTGCTGCACAAAGTTGGGTAGTGTCCTAAGTAGGCATACCCTTCCTATTCTTACAAGCCCTTTGCGGGTATCAGGAATGACATGCGTCCCATGGATAACCATCTTACCAGCACGAAATTCCAACATAATTTCCTGTAATATAAAATTAATTCCGATTAAAAATAGAACTTGTGGGCCTTCACAAAAAAAATTAAGAAAAAACTTCTTACTAAATTCAAGAGTAAAAAAGGTCTGGAATCCAAATATGTACTTGAGGGTATTTCTGCTGCAAGAAGAATTTAAAAAATCCTATAAATTCAAAATTAAATAAACCCTATCAATCTAATCCTTAAATCTATTTGGCATGATAGGAGTTAAATCCAGTCGAATCTTCACGAACTATTTGATAACTTATTTCATTATTTAAGTCGATCAATTCAAATAAGTTTTAACAATAATTATTAATGATGCAATTATTGAGGCTAATTAAATTTGATGGCTATCATGCTTATTTGAAGAGATCATTAATAATCATAAATCTAAAACTTCCTTCTTAGTATTGAAACGTTAATGGAAGATGGAGAAAGGGAAGATGGAGAACTACATTTCTTAAAATTTTGTCTATCCCCCAGTAAAATGATTAATAAATATCAATAATTACTTTTATTATGATCAATACTTAATTGCTCCTTAATTGAACATGTTGACGGCATAATTTTTTCAAAAAATAAATGATGGTTCTTTACATATTTGAAGGATAAAAAAAAGTTGAATTCATTCCAAGTTATGTAATATAATGATGGTAATCAATTTCTTCCATAATGATGATTAAAATGATGACAACAAAAGTAATTTGAAATAGAAATTTTTCAATCAAATGCTAATAATTGTTTTCTTTTCATACAGAATTATCATTATATATTTTCTATCTTTGCACATGGACGATCAACCTTTTGCTTGATGATGACTCCACTTATAGGTTCCTAAAAAATCTTGTCATACTAACAAATTAAGTTCCTACCACAAAAGATTAAATTTTATCATGAAACATCAATTTCTGACAGTAACATTATTGCTCTGCTTAATTTTTTTCTAGATGTTTTGTTAGGTGTTTAACCATTCTCTACTACATTTTTGTGTTCGAAATATAAACGAGTTGAACACGAAAAGTGGTATATTTTAACGAGCCGAACATGAACTGAGTCTGGGCTAGCTCGAGTTTGGCTCGTTTACAGGCCCGCATATGATATCTGATTTTATTAGGTGTTTTGTTAGGTGTTTAATCAATTTTCTACTACATTTTTTTTGTTCAAAATATAAACGAGTCGAACACGAAAAGTGGTATTTTTTAACGAGCTGAACATGAGCTTGCTCGTGTTCGACTCGTTTACATCCCTTACATATGATATCTGATTTTATTCACCATTCTTATTTTACAAAGCATTTCCTAAAATATGAAATCTGATTTTTATTCTCATTTCCTATATTAAAATGTTTTTCCTAAAATCTAAAATCAGATTTTTATTCTCCTTCTTATTTTAAATGTTTCCTAATATAGGTTATGTCTCTTTATAAATATTAGATGTTTTGCGTAGCGTTGGGGGGTGGTTTTTATGAAATCTGAATTCAGTTTTGTCTTTAGTGTTTTCCAATTTGAGAATGTATATGACGTCAAGGTAGTGCTCTGGATGTCCTTTGCCAGAGGTGGCGATCGTCTCCATGGGTCTGAGTGGTGCTCCGGCTGTTGCTCGATTACAACGAGATATTTATCTCTCTGTCCATCCTCCCGGCTGCTATAAACCGCTTCTCCAGCTACTACAACTTCTGCCGTCTCACCACAACTGCCACCAGCCTTCCAGCCTGCCACTGCTCACCGGACTTCCTACAGCTCCCTGCAGACTGCAACCAAGCTGCCCCCTCTCCCGCATCAACAGCAGCCTTCCGACCACCTCTACCAGCTGCTCATTTCCCTCTTCCAGCAGGCTGCACCTCCTTCCTGCAACTTCCTGCAGGCTGCAGCCCCCGCTGCCTTTTTCCTGCATCAACAGCAGCCTTCCGACCACCTCTACATGTTGCTCATCTCCCTCCTCCAGTAGGCCGTGCCTCCTTCCTGCAACTTCCCTATAGACCGCAGCCACCGTTGCTCTTCCAAGCTCCCTCCAGCTGCGGTCGATGCCCCTATCATCACTGATTTTCTGCCCTCCCTTCCACAACAGCAAGACACCTCTTCGGCCTTCACTGCAGCCAACTACCTTGCACCACCGCCCGAGCTCCCTCCTCGTCAAAGCTTATTGCATTTTCTTTTGTCGGGCCTTTATTTGTAATTCTTTGTTTTAAGTTATTGTTTTCTATGTTGTCATTCTTTCTTTGAGTCTTCAATGTACCATTTGTTCAAGTTATTAATAAAATTGTGTCTTGCGTCATGGTTTGGGTAAAAAAAGGCAACGGTAGAAATTGAAAAACAATTAAAGACTATGGGAAATTGAAATATTTTTTCTAACCAAATTAATTGCCCACAAAATAGATTCCTGAATCCCTATTCATTCAATTAAAGACTTTGGGAAATTGTAATATTTTCCAACCAAACTAATTCCCAAAAAATAGATTCCTTATTCCCTATTCATTGAATTAAGGACAGGTATGATTAGATTCATAACAAACCTTATTTAAATGAATAAGAATGCTAGTAAATAGCTCCACTCTCTAAAATAAAAATCTGGCCCTAAATTCTAGGCATGAATGGAGGAGCAAACTTGCACAAATTAAGGAAAACAAAATTTCATGAATAAGGACAACTAACTTTCCTAAATATTAAGAGCACTGAATATTTAGGAATTGCTAATTATCACTTAGATGTAGTCAAGGGATTAAAATAATACTATTGTTATATATTTGTTTTAATGGGGAGACAAACTTGGGGTTAATTTACCTAATTTCTTAAATCTAAAATTATTCATATCAACAAAGGATGCACCAAAATATAGAGTGTCGGTCGATCATAAATTTGTAAGCTAATTGGGTTCATCTTTACATAACAGAGGCTTTGGAAATCTTCTAAAATGTGTTGGAGATTCCTTCCAATATCAATAACTCTTCAAGATATTTTATTATTGCATGAGACTCCCTAGTTGTCCAATTAATCACTCCACTTTAACTCTAAAAGTTATTTCATCATCAATATAACAATTATTTATATAATAGATCCAACATACTCGGAACCTATTACACCAAGATAACCTTAATCTTCAAGTAAAATTAGATGAAAAGTAATAATATGGAATCTGTTCAAATTACATATCATATAGTCAGTCTTAATTCTATAAATCCTATGTCGTTAAACATCTTAAACTTTCTTTTTCTCCAACTTTTCATTTATTTCAAGAGAATCGTCAATTAGAACTATACCATTTGCAACAACATGCACTAATATAACTCGATTTAACCATACTTTATATGTATCTCATTGTGAATAAAAACATATACATACTTTATGTTTATCATTGATACAAGCATATTGTGATAGAAAACATAGCCATTCTACTACAACATCTAATGATAAATAATGCTCCATCAAATTGCCTATAAAAACAATCATAAGTCCAAAATATAATATATTCCAAAACACCAAAAAAGAGAATATCACCTATTTTTCTTCCTCAATATACATGGTTTTAATGCCTACAAATAGTTTTGTTTCTTGGGGTGTTTGTCTTTTTTTACTTTTGGTTGTTACTCCTAGCTCAATTAAAAGCTATTATCATACATCACGAAACAAAAGATGCTTAAGGGACAAGGTCCTAGCTCACAATTAAAGCTATCACCATACGTCACCAAGCAAAAGTTCTACTTCAACATACCGAGTGATTGGGATGGAAGAGATTCAAACAATAGTGATGGTTTATATTTCAAATTTGCTCGCAAACCTTTCAAGATATGTACAAAAGCAAAAGCACAAAACCAGCATAATGCAAAATAATAACCTCAACCTTTCAATTTCAAAAAGGTTGGTACTTGAATAGAATCATAGAATAAAAAGCAAAACAATCCCTCCCACTTCAAGCATATCAAACTCTCCCTTCGCCATGACTATAATTAGTTGAAACTTGGAGGGTTCTTTGAGTTAGATCAACCTAAAACAATCACACCATAATATTACTCATAACATCAATTAGATTGAAAAAAAGTTTTAGACAAAAATAGAAATATAAAGGGTAATCTTTAAATGCATAAATAGAAAAAAAAATTAGGTGGATCATATCTATTGGGTTGATTACATTGAATGCCTTTTTTTTTTTTTGGCTTTATTATGGGACTAATCTTCTATGGAAAGAACTAACTATTATACGTGCTAGAATTAAAATCGTCCAACAATGTTCATTCCAGAAATGACTCCTTTTGACAACAACTCAAATTAATTCGTGGAACCTGAAAACATTAACTAGTGAAATACATTATCTAAAGGTGCTTTATTTTCAATTATATGTTTCCCTTTTTGTAGATGTTTCCTTTTTTGTATATGCTTCCTTTCTTTTCAATGCACAATATATAAGACCACAAGTTGCTTGTAATTAGAATTAAATGAGATCAATTTTGAAGCAAGCACACCTGAGATTTGAAAATATCATGGCTACAGAATTCAATAACTTCAGAAATTAAAGACCAACTTTATTATTGAACATGGAGAGTGGACAAAAAGATTATTTAAAAGTCCATATTGTAGCTACTTCAAAAATTTAGGGCACAAGGAAAGATGTTGAAATTGAAAGGCAAACCCGAATAAGCAAGCAAGGAATAGGGATATTATGGTGGAAAATAATGAAATCAAAGTCAAACTCATGTAAGCACAGACCAAATAAATCAAAAAGCAAGCCCATAATAAGAATAATTAAATAAAAAGGAGATTGAAAGGCTCCCAAAATTAATAGAGATGTGAAAAAGAAAGCCTACGCAAAGTGGTGCATGCTTTTTGGCAGTCTCAAGTGTGTCCTTAACTATGGAGTAATATCATCATTAACACTTCATCAACAATTCAAAAACCACATCACAACATATTCCACATCAAAAACTAGCCCATACAGTTCTTGTCTAAGTAGTACAATAAAATTTTGTTGCTGATGGCACTCTTACCACATTAATAGGCACATGAAATTATA